AAGGGTTAATCTGTGTGACTCTCTGTAGGGTCTCTGCCTTGCACAGCAGGGTAAGGGTTAATCTGTGTGACTCTCTGTAGGGTCTCTGCCTTGCACAGCCGGGTAAGGGTTTGCTCTGTACAATGTTGCTGTTGTATTTCGTGTGCGTGAGTGAATATTGAAAGTGGGAAGTGTGGTTGCGATATATTTTCAGCTCCGGTGCTTGTGAAATGCAAAGTGTTTGATCAATGTTGGAGGAGTTACCGACATTAGCTCCAGAAAGTGAAGGGTTGACGGAAAATGAGTTGAGTTAGTTGCTGGATTCTACAGTGCAGAGTGTGGGACCGTGTGTTGACCTCAACCTGAAATCCCTCGATCACTTATTCTTGTCGACGTACAATTCGTTCATGTTACATTCTCTCTCTCTCTGCTGCCTCCTTTCTTCCTCCCCTCCCCTGCTCCTTCCTTATCTTTAATTTATTTTTAGCTTATCCAGCTAAACCACTTCACTGCTAAACCACTCTGTCCCAGGCAACATCCTGGTGAGCCTGAGATAGTAGGAGGGGTCTAGGCCCGAAACATCAGCCTTTTTGCTCCTATGATGCTGCTTGGCCTGCTGTGTTCATCCAGCTCTGCACCTTGTTATACTGGTGAGCCTCCTCTGTACTCCCTACCAGTGCAATCCCGTCCTCCTTATAGCAGGGAGACCAGAACTGCACACAATGCTCCAGTTGCAGCCTCACTCCTATACAGCTCCAACATCACCCCCCTGCTCCTATAAAACTGTACAGCACAGAAACAGACCCTTGTTTAAATCCATGCCAACCCAGATATCCTAAATTAATCTAGTCCCATTTACCAGCATTTGGCCCCATATCCCTCTAAACCCGAACTAACCATGTCCCCATCCAGATGCCTTTTAAATGTTGTAATTGTACCAGCCCCCACCACTTCCTCTGGCAGCTCGTTCCATACACACACCACCCTCTGCGTGAAAAAGTTGTCCCTTAGCTCCCTTTTAAATCTTTCTCACCTTAAACCTAAGCCCCTCTAGTTTTGGACTCCCCTACCCAGGACAAAAGACCTTAACTATTCACCCTATCCATGACCCTCATGACCTAATAGAGGTTTATAAAATCACCACTCAGCCTCTGACGCTCCAGGGAAAAAAGACCCAGCCTATTCAGCCTCTCTCTATAGCTCAAACCCTCCAACCCTGGTAACATCCTTGTAAATCTTTTCTGAACCCTTTCAAGTTTCACAACATCTTTCCTATAGCAGGGAGACCAGAATTGAACACAGTATTCCAAAAGTGGCCTCACCAATACAGCCGCAACATGACCCTCCCAACTCCTCTACTCAAAGCACTGACCAATACAGGCAAGTGTACCGAACACCTTCTTCACCGCCCTGTCTACCTGCGACCCCACTTTCAAGGAACTATGTACCTGCCCCCGCTAAGATCTCTTTGTTCAGCAACACACCCCAGGACCCAGCAAGAGGTGGGGTGGGGAGGAGAAGGGATATCAGTGGGGTAAGGCAGATGTGAGGTTACGGTCTGATCAGCCATGATGGTATAGAACAGCAGATTAGGCTGGAGGAGGGGGGCTGAATGGCCTGCTGTTCCTGTGTAACAGGCTGGAGGAGGGTGGGGTGGTGCTGAATGGCCTACTGTTCCTGTGAGACAGGCTGGAGGAGGGGGGCTGAATGGCCTCCTTCTGGCTCACACATTTCATTTGAGGAGATTGAAGGCTCGGTATTCTGTGAGTTTGTGTTGTTTCGGGGCAGGGATGAAGGGGGCCGTGGTATTGCGCGGTAAATGTTTTCCCATCTGTGCCGCAGACTCTGAAGAAAAAGGGATTTAATGGCTGTGACAGCCCAGAGCCTGACGGGGATGATCCAAATGAGCAGAGCCCCTTCGCTGAGGACAAGTACAGGAAGGTCACTGAGGATATTGACGTGTTGTTCAAACGCTATGGGGTGAGTAGCAGCTTCTGTCGCCAGGCAATGCGCGTAGTTACCCTCCCGGTCGCTCGGAGTGGCCTCTTCAGACCCAGGTACCAAGCGTGGGAATGGGAGGCCATTCAGCCCCAATCTTCCAGCCTGTTACACAGGAACAGGAGGCCGTTCAGGCCCCCCTCTGCGAGCCTGTTACACGGGAACAGGAGGCCGTTCAGCCTCCTCCCTCTGCGAGCCCGTCCACACGGGACCAGGAGGCCATTCAGCACCCCCTCCTCAAGCCTGTTAAACAGTTTGCAAGGCTTCAAAACATTCCCGTCTCTCTCTCTCTCCAGAGCCTGAGGCAAGTCCGTCTCTCCCTCGTACCCCGGGCTGTCAGGGTTGGGGTTTGGGGGGAGTGGTGGATTGCTCAGAGGGAGGGATGCCCTCAGATACTCGAGCCCCATTAACGTTGCTCTTTCCTGCCCCACCCCTCCAATCTCTTCTGCAGTCAACCATGCAGCCTGCAAGCTTCACCATGCCCGTGACCATCTCTGCCAGTGCCCAGAACCCGCTGCTGTCCTACACCAACCCTGGCTCGTCTCTGGTCAGCCCCTCGCTGGTGACCACTTCGCTGAGCGAATCCGGCCTCCTGAGCCCCCAGCAGCCCACCATGAGGAGGAACACCGTCTCCCCCGGTATCCCATCCAGGCCCCCGAGCTCGGGAAATCCAGGTAAGATCCATTCCTTCCCAACTCCTGCCCCCTAATCGCGAAACCCCGTTTAGAAGGTTGGGGGGTGCGGGTAAGTCACCTCCTTGAGCCACTGTGTTGTGGGGGTGGGGTGGGAAAGGGAGGGAGCTGACCCTGAAAGAACGGCCGATTATATTTCCAAGTCGGGATGGTTTAGGGGCTCGGAGGGGAACTTGCCTGAGGTGGGGTGGGGGGTGGGGGGGGATGGTGTACCCATGTTTCTGCTGCCCCCTGTCCTTTCAGGGGCGTAGAGGCCCCGGGTTTGGAAGGTGCTGACTTGGGGAGTCACTGTAGACGGTACACACTGCTGCGACTGAGCGTCGGTGGCGGAGGGAGACGGTGCTTGTGGGTGTGGTGCCAATCCCAGCGGGGTGTGGGGGGCTGCTCGAGTGTTTGCCGGAGATGCCCCCAATCCAGGGCAAGTGGGGGGAGCATTCCCCTCATGCTCCTGCCTGGACTCTCCCTGGCTCCCCCTCCCCCCGCCCTCACTATCGACAGGATGGGAGTTACTTGCTGCAGGATTCCCAGCCTCTGACCTGCTCTTGGAGCCGCTGTATTGATACAGGGCTGGGTCCCAGTTCGGTTTCTGGTCAATAGTAACCCCCAGGATGTTGACTGACACACCCCCAGTCAGAAATCTCCCTCTGCGTCGCTCTGTCTCGCTCTTCCTGTTCTCCCTCCTTAAACCCTAGGCCTTGGATCAAGTGGGCAGGAACTGGCAGAGGCCATTCAGCCCTTGATACCTTCCTACCATAGAGGCAGAATGCTATTGGGATAGTGATTGTGGGGGCTTCAGCGATGTCTGGAGTGGGGCACTGAAAGGGGAGTGGGTGATGATGGGGGTAGGGGAGGGGCAGGGGATTGAAAGTGATGGTGGGAGGAATGGCGAGGCATTGGAGGAGTTGGTTCTAATGCTTCTTCCTGAGATAGCCTAGAACAGACCCCACCCGGGAGAGTGAGACATGAACCACTCTCTCCCCCACCACAAACACAGACTGTGTGGTTAACCCTCTCATCACCATTACCTTACCCAGCAGTAAGTTGGGTGGGGGGGAAGGTAGGAAGCATTTGGAAAGATTTTGTGGGCGTGTGAGGTGGGGGGGGGGGCGCGAGGATTTTTGGGGGGGCCCGGGGGGGGGCGAGGCGTGTTTTGGGGGGGGGAGGGTTAAGTGGAGGCGATGGTGAGGCTGTGTTCAGCTTGTTTGCAGCACCTACTAACAGCCCTTTATCCTGCCCCCTCCCCCCCACAGCTGTACTGATGGGAACTGAGCTGGTCACGTCTAACGGAGAATGCCCCAGCCCTGTTGGTAAGTGCCCCTGAGCTGTGGTTCTGACCCACCGTCCATACCCATCCAGTGCTGGGGAAAGAGGGCCCCCCCACCCCCCTACTACCTCCCCCACAAAAGCCCCGATTCCCTGGAAGTATGTGTCGGATCTTTGCTTGAACCACATTGACGCGATCTATTCGCTGCCTGTCACTGTTCGCTCCTGGGGCGTTCGACTTCAGGAGGCTTTGCCCCCGGACGGTGTTGAGATTCTCAAGACGTTGTCGGGGCTGCCCCCATCCGGGGAAAGTGGGGGTGGGGGGGGTATTCCCTTACCCTCCTGCCTTGTCCCTTGTCGATGGTGGGGGACAGCCTTTTTGTAGAGGTGGTGGGGGTGGTGAAGAGTCAGGAGGGGAGTTACACGCTGCCCGATTCCCAGCCTCTGACCTGCTCTGTGTTTACATGGTGGGTCCAGTTCTGGTCAATGCTAACCTCCCCCACCCCCCCCCCCCCACTCCAAGGATGTTCATAGTGGTGGGTGGGGTGGAGGGTGGGGATTCAGTGACAATAATTTCAAGTGGGGGGGCAACGGTTAGATTCTCTCTCAATGGTAACCCCCAGGATGTTGATGTGGGTTGGGAGGTGGTGGGGGGGGGGGGGGTATTCAGTGATCCTCTGGCCCTGGAGGATGGGGGTTGAATGTTTCGTGAGGTGTGTGGGGTGGAGTGGGGGGGTTTGGGGTGGGGCGGGGGGTGAAGTGTCACTCAGCAATGCCACTATGGGCCCTGTCTTACTGGATTGAGCAGATGCACCCTGGCACGTTTGCAGCTGTTGTCCCCCTCTGACCAGGACGTGTGATGCCCGGGAGTGTCGAATAGTATCGTTGACATCCCTTGGCATTCCTGGAGCGTTTCCGAGTGTGGTGGGAACGACTGGATGTATCACCGATGTGGCTGGTGGCCTCACAGGCGCTGGTGGTCCCCGCCTCCCCTCACCTCCCCCCCCCCCCCTCCCCACCCCCCACAAACCCCCAACCTCGCCCTGTCTGAGCCCTCGCTCCCCCATCATCTCTGGTTTAAGGCAGACCACCAGCTGCATTGGTGACTGGAGGAAGCCCACCTCAACCTCTCCTGCCTCTGTCGTTCTCAGAATGGGCCGTAGGGGGCTGGAGGAGGTGACAGAGATAGGGAGGGGGTGTAGGGGGCTGGAGGAGGTGACCGAGATAGGGAGGCGGTGTAGGGGGCTGGAGGAGGAGAGGGTATTTGGCGTGTTCGGAGCTGTGTGAGTTGGAGGCTTGAGTGAGGTAGATGAAGGGTACTCTGCAAGAGGGAGGTTAGCCTCGGGCTATGGGAGCGGGAGCGGGAATGACGGTGGGTGTGCTGGGGAAGGGGGGAAGCTGATGCCGATGGGGACGGAGGTGACTTGTAGGGGTTGGGGGAGCGCGGGCGGGGGTGCATACAGGGTGGGGAGGGGTGTGTCGGAAATACCCCCTCCCAACCCCCACCCACTGCTGTCTGCATCCTGCCGCCCCCTACCACAGGCAATGGCTACGTGAACCCTAGATCGTCGCCGGGCCTCCTGCCGAAGGTCATGTCACCGAAATCTCCACCGCCGCCGCCTCCCCTAGCTGCTCAGCCGAGCCACGGCAACAGCCGCAAACCGGACTTGCGGGTCATCACCTCTCAGAGCAAGGGATTAATGGGATCTCTGGTGAGTCGCTCCCCAATATCGCCCCCCCACTCGTGTCGGTTAACCGTGACGGTAATGATACTGTTGCCTCTACAGAGGGCAGTTAAGAGCCAACCACATTGCTGTGGGTCTGGAGTCACATGTAGCCCAGACCAGGTAAGGATGGCAGTTTCCTTCCCTAAAGGACATTAGTGAACCAGATGGGTTTTTCCCAACAATCGGCAATGGATTCACGATCATCATAAGATTCTTAATTCCACATATTTATTGAATTCAAATTCCACCGCCTGCCCTGGCGGGATTCGAACCCCAGTCCCCCAGGACGTTACCTTCATCTCTGGGTTAATGATAATACTATGAGGCCATCCCCTCCGCATCCAACGCTTTGCTTATCTGCCATTCTCCCCACTGGTCTCACCCTACATGTGACTCCAGACCCGCACGTGGCGATGGGACTGACTCTGGCCACCCCCCCACCCCCCCACCCCCCCACCCAACCCTGTGGAAATGGTGCAGAGGGAGATGCTTGGATCGAGGGGCAATTAGGGACGGGGGAGTGAAATAAATGCTGACTCCCCCAGCGACACTCACATCCCCATGACAAAGTGAGCTTTACTCTGTATCTAACCCCGTGCTGTCCCTGGGAGTGTTTGATGGGGGGGACAGTGTAGAGGGAGCTTTACTCTGTATCTAACCCCGTGCTGTCCCTGTACTGGGAGTGTTTGATGGAGGGGGACAGTGTAGAGAGAGCTTTACTCTGTATCTAACCCGGTGCTATCCCTGTCCTAGGAGTGTTTGATGGGGGGACAGTGTAGAGGGAGCTTTACTCTGTATCTAACCCCGTGCTATCCCTGTACTGGGAGTGTTTGAGCGGGGGGGCTAGTGTAAAGGAAGCTTTACTTTTTCAGTTGCAAAGAGTAGAGTGAGTGTGACAAAATGCTGATTTCCCTGACAATGAGCTGAGTAAATTTGGGATTGTTTGGGGGCGCTGGGGGAGGTGGTGTACAGTGTTTGCAGCCTCTGTGCTGTTTGCTAAGTGTCTGTCTCTCCTTGTCCCTCATGCTATCAGACAGAGGACGGCCTCCAACTGGTGAGTGCCGCTCTATAGCCTCCTGTCGTTGGCGTCCCTGTACCTCCAGGGAGTGTGGGCGTGTGTGGGTAGGGGCTCAGCTTTTGCCCGCACAAGCTGCCAATCCTGACGAGAGGGGGCAGAGTAACATGCAGCGCCGAGACTCCGTAAACCCTCACGTGGACGTTCACATAATGGTCTCGATTTTAGACCAAGTAGCTCCGAATATGGGCAGTGCCTCTGTCCCTGACACAGATGGAGCTCGAGAGCCCTTTAGCCAGTAGATGGCAGCTTTACCCAACAAACACAAACCCTTCCATCGATTCAAACACACAGCAAACACCAGGCCCTCCGACGGTGCCCGCTCCCCTTGGCGCCGACCCTCCGACGGTGCCCGCTCCCCTCGGCGCCGACCCTCCGACGGCGCGATGCACCCACAGATGTATTGTCCCCATTTCCCCCCCCCACTCCCTGCCCCTTCTGTATACCTCTCTCTGTCATACAACCACCAGGGCACAAACGGAGGCCACTTGGCCCTTTTGCTACCTTCTGTCCCACTGTCCACCTCTCATGGCCGCCTCACTGTCCCTTCTTCCATCAGCAGCTCCTTGCTCCCAGGTTATGCTCTCGGGTGGGACTGTGTATGTTCACATGTCCTCTCAAACCCAGCAATCCCACTGAGCAGTCATACCATCCACCTCCTGCCCCAACACCCACCCCCCCAATCCCGGCGACTGTTTTGATTTCTGCGAGAACATGCCATGCTGCCATCTCATTAAAGCAGAATCTACTTCACCCCCCACAAAAACCCTGAACCTCACTGTTTATCTGGGCCAAGTTTGATCTTTCGATGAATTCCTTGCAGGGATCTTTGTTTTACTTTCTCTCTCTCTCTCTGTCTTTCCCCTCCTCTCTCTCCCCCCTCCTCTCTCTCCCTCTTCCCCCCTCCACACCCGGTGTGTCCGGTTTGACAGAGCACGCAGCAGTTGACCAGCTCCCAGGCCGCCCAGTCCCTGACCACCCCAGTGGTCTCGGTCGCTACCCCTAGCCTCCTGCCCCAGGGGCTCCAGTACTCGGCCATGCACACGACATACAACACAGGTATGTGTCTCCCCCACCCCCACACACACACACACACACCCCCACCCCGGGCGGGGGGTGTGGGGGGTCGGGCTGGGCTGGGCCGGGGCGGGGTGAGAGGGTGACGGCAGGGTGTGGTGGTGGGGGAGACTTCGTTACGCGGAGGGGGCCGTCTCCGTCTGGCCCTCAGGGGATGAGCCGGCGCCACATAAATGCAGCCGAGGTGAGGCCGCCTATGTCACACCTCAAGATGTGGAAATTTACAGCTGCAGGAAGTGAAAAGCCGTTGAGGAAAAGGGACCGTCAGGGTATAGGAGCAGAGAGAGGCCGTTCGGCCCGTCGCGCCTGCTCTGCCATTCACTCGCGCCTGGTACGTTTCTCAATTCCCGTTCTCCTCTCGGTCCCCTGACCAAATCAAGAGCCTATCTATCTCTGCATTAGATATTACTACAGTGCAGGAGAGGTATTTTGGCCCATCGTGCCTGTCCCTGCTTCTATCCCCTTGTGCCAATCCCCTGGCCTACCATTTCTATACAAACCACCATCCAATGCCCCCCGTCTTGAATGCCCTCAATTGAAGCTGCCCACCCCCCACCTTCACATTTCCAGCCAGTGCATTCCATTCCCTAACCACTTGCTGGGTGGAACATGCCTCCAATCACCCTCACTTCTTTGGCCATGTCACTGTAACTCCACGCTCCCAATCTCATTCTGGTCCCTTTTACTGAGCGGGAACAGCTTCTCCCTCTCGACTCCGTCCAGTCTCCCTCCCTACCACCACCCCCCTCCAACCTCGTGATTTTGCAAACCTCTATCAGATCTTCCCTCCCGCCTCTCTCCGCCCCCTCCCCCCCCCCACCCTCCCCGCCGGTCCCCTCCTCGCCAATCTCTGAGGTTTCTCGTTCACGTCTGGCATCACCTGACGTGGCACAGCCGCCAGTGACATCCCAGGAATTCCTGTGGGAATGGGAGACGCGGTTCGGAGCGAAGCGTTCGAGCTGACAACTGCTTGACCCTTGCAGATTTAATCCCAGGCTCTCTGATGAAGTGGCTGGTGATTAGAACAATTGGAACAGAAGTAGTTCTGCTCTGCTCCTCTGTTCAATAGGATCACAGCTGATCCGACACTCCTCATGTGTACTTTCCTGTCCTTTCCCGGTATTCCCTGACTATTTATTTTAAAAATTCGTTCACGGTTGCTGTCCAGGCAGCATTTATTGCCCATCCCTAATTACCCAGAGGGCAGTTCAGAGTCAACCACATTGGCTGTGGGTCTGGAGTCACATGTAGGCCAGACCAGGTAAGGATGGCAGTTTCCTTCCCCTAAAGGACATTAGTGAACCCAGATGAGTTTTTCCAACAATCAGCAATGGATTCACGGTCATCATAAGACTCTTAATTGAATTCAAATTCTACCATCTACCCTGGTGGGATTCGAACCCAGGTCCCCAGAACGATAAATAGGTCTCTGGGTTAACAGTCCAGTGATAATACCACTAGGCCATTGCCTCCCAGACTATAGAGTCATACAGCGCAGAAGTAGATCCCCTCAGTCCAACCCCTCCATGCCAACCCAGATATCCTAAAATAATCTAGTCCCATTTGCCAGCATGTGGCCCCTATCCCCCTAAACCCTTCCTATTTATGTCCCCATCCAGATGTCTTTTAAATGTTGTAATTGTACCAGCCTCCACACTTCCTCTGGCAGCTCGTTCCATACACACACCACCCTCTGCCTGATAAAGTTGCCCCTCAGGTCCCTTTTAAATCTTTCCCCCCTCACCTTAAACCTATACCCCTCTAGTTTTGGACTCCCCTACCCCTGGGGAAAAGACCTTGTCTATTCACCCTATCCATGCCCCTCATGATTTTATAAACCTCTATAAGGTCATCAGCCTCTGATGCTCCAGGGAAAATAGCCCCAGACCAATCAGTTTCTCCATATAACTCAAACCCTCCAAGATCCTCGTAAATCTTTTCTGAGCCCTTTCAAGTTTCACAACATCCTTCCTGTAGCAGGGAGACCAGAATTGAACGCAGTAGTCCAAAACTGGCCTAACCAATGTCCTGTACAGCTGCAACATGACCCTCCCAACTCAATGCACTGACCAATAAAGGCAAGCGTACCAAACACCACCTTCACCGCCCTATCTACCTGCAACTCCACTTTCAAGGAGCTATGAGCCTGTTCAGCAACACTCCCCAGGACCTTACTGTTCAGTGTATACATCCAGCAATCTATCTCGGCCTTAAATATACACAAGGAATCTTGCCCCACAGCTCTGTGTGGCAAGGAGTTCCAAAGACTCTGAGAGAAGAAATTCCTCCTCATCTCAGTCTTAAATTGGCACCCCTTTATTCTGAAACTGTGCCCTTTGTCCCTCGAGTCTCCCATGAGGGGACACATCTTCTCAGCATTGACACCGACAAACCCCTTCATAGAGCTTAGAACATAGAACATAGAACAGTACAGCACAGTATAGGCCCTTCGGCCTACAATGTTGTGCCGAACCTTTACCCTAAACCTAAGGTCTATCTAACCTCCACCGCTACCTTATACTGTCATCCATATGCCTATCTAATAGCCGCTTAAATACCCCTAATGAGGCCGACTCCACTACCCTCTCCGGCAATGCATTCCACGCCCCTACCACTCTCTGAGTAAAGAACCTACCTCTGACGTAGGAGAGCATTACTGGGGTGTGATGGATCTTTGATGATGTTGGCCGTGTTTCCGCAGCAGCGAGCCGTGTAAATGGAGTCCATGGATGGAAGGTTGGCTTCTGTGATGGTCTGGGCTGTGCACACCACCTTCTGTCGTTTCTTACAGTCCTGGGCAGAGCAGTTGCCGTACCAGGCCGTAATGTACCAGGACCATATGCTTTCAATGGGGCATCTGTAGGAGTTGGTGAGGGACCTTATGGACATCACAAATTCCCTGAGGTGCCTGAGGAAGAAGAAACATTGTTGTGCCTTCTTCACTGTCACATCCGCGTGGGAATTCCAGGACAGGTTATCGGTTATCGTCACTCTGAGGAACTTGATGCTCTCCACCCTCTCAACCTCAGTGCCGTTGATGTAAATGGGGGCGTGTTCTCCTCCTTTCCTTCTGAAGTCGATGATCAGTTCTTTAGTTTTGCTGACGTTGAGAGACAGATCGCACCACGTCACCAAGCCCTCTATCTCCCTTCCGCATTGTGTCTCATCGTTGTCAGATTTCCGTCCCACCACGGTGGTGTCATCGGCAAACTTCTAGATGGTGTTTGTTCAGAATTTGGCAACGCAGCCGTAGGTATACAGGGAGTACAGTAGGGGGCTGAGGAGTGAGGGTTATTATGGAGGAGGTGCAGTTCCCTATCCTCACTGATTGTGGCCTATGGGTCAGGAAGCTGAAGTTCCAGTTGCAAAAGGCAGAGCTGAGACCAAGGTCACACAGTTTTGAGATCAGACTGGAGGGGATAATGGTCTTGAAGGCTGGGCTGAAGCTGGCGCTGGAGTCGATGAGCAGGAGTCTGATGTAGGTGACCTTGTTGTCCAGATGTTCCAGGGATGAGTGCAGGGCTAGGGAAATGTCATCCGCCATGGGCCTGTTATATCGGTGGGCAAACTGTAGGGGATCGAGGCAGGTTGGGAGACTGGAGCTGATGTGGGCCATGACCAGCCTCTCGAAGCACTTCAGGGTTATTGAGGTCAGAGCTATTGGCCGGTAGTCATTAAGGCACACTGCGTGTGTTTTCTTGGGTAGGGGGATGATGGTGGTCTTCTTGAAGCAGGTA